CCCTGGTTCCCGCTTGGAAAGCTCGCATGGCGACCCCGGCAGGCGGCAAGGGCGAGTCCCGGACAAACCCCTCCAGCCCCCCGCCCGCCCGATCATGGCTGACAGCCCAGACATCGAGAGCGGCGACTACGTGACTACGCGGTCATCCGGAACGACACCCTCCCCCGAGCCAGGTGGTTTGCAGCCCCTGGGCGGAGCAGTATTCGGACCGACCCTCGACGTCCAGATCCGCGCGGAGGTCGGGCAACGATTCCTGGTCGTTCAAATAGGATAGGCAGCGAGTGGCTTGAAATCTGGGGTGCCGGGGCCAAGACGCTACGCGCCGAGTCCTACGCGGCAGCGCGGCGAGCTGCGAGGCCGCCTTCCTGGATGGGGTCCCCGACAAGGCGCAAGCACCGCAGGCGCCAGCGGCCCCTGCCAGCTCCTGGCTCGGCGCCGACCCCGGAGTCGTCGCGGCGGCGTCCGCGGAAGGGGCTCAGCCCAAGTCCAGGTCCCAGTCCCGCTCTCCACGGGCGGTCGCGCGGGGCCCCGCGCACGAGCCGCCGCCGTGATATCCCCGACTACACCTCCCAAGACCAGGGGGAGGAACAGGCTTAGAGGCTGGCGGAGGCCGCGGGCACAGTCCACGCGGTCTCACCTTCCCCAGACCCTGGAGCACATCGGCAGGTCCACATCGGGACGAGCCCCCCGGAGGTGCGGCCCAAGAGCCCTGAACGCGGAACCGGCGCGCCGCGCCAGGCCGGCCAGGCCGACGAATCCACGGGCCAGGGCAAGCCCGCGGTGGCCGGCGCCGACGCCCGCGCCCCGCGCGCACCGCTCCGGGCTGCGGCCACAGGAGCCTGGCGCACCGCGCCCGACCCCCATCCTCCGCTCGGGTACGGTCGCGCGCGCGGCAGGGGGAGTGAGCCGGGTCTCTGGGGCCGATGCGAGAGCGCGGTTCGGCGCCCGTCCAGAGACAGCAGCGACCGGGGCCGAGCCAGAGGGCGCGACCGCGACCGAGACCGCGATCGCGACAGGAGCGGGGGGTGGGGCTCCTGGCAGCGATGCGACGATCGCCGCAACCCTGAACAAAACAACGATGAGCGCCGCCGCCCTGGCCACAACCGCCCCTGGTAAGACCGCCGCGCCAACTGGCCGAGACGCCCGGGCGAGACGGCGGCCGCCCACTTGAAAAGGCTGAAGGCCGAGGGAGGCTATTACTTCATTGCAGCCTGGCACTCTTGGTGCAGGCGCGTGGGCCAGGGAAAAGGCAATACCAGGGGCCAAGTCAAGTTCGACCCGTCCTGCTGGAAGCCCGACGTGATCGACCGCTTCCTGGATGAAATGGCATGCGGCCACTACGACGTGGGCACCTGGTCCCGGAACGTGGGCGTCTATGTCGATTGGGGCCGCGAAAACACCTCGTGCCGGGAGTTCCAGCGGAGACGGGAGGTGGCCAAAGGCGAGGGGCGCGGGGGCGGCCCAGCACGCAGCTCTGGGTACGCCGACAACTGGACGGGGAAGCGCCCCAGGCCCCAGGCGTTGACTTGCCCTGAACGCTCCCCCTGGCGCCGCCGCCCAGGGTGCCGCACCGGCCTTCCCTCCTGTCCCCGGCAGGCCTTTTGGCGCTGTTCTACGGGTGCGACCTGTTTGTCGCTTTCTACAGCGCCTGGCCCTGTCTCCCCGTTCCCCCCTCCTCCCACGCGCCTGGTAATGGGGCGGTTAGTCCCTCCTGATCCCGCGCCAACTGCGACATCAACTGGGGCCGCGAAAACGCCCCGTGTTTGGAATCCGGCGGAACCAGGACGCGGCCAAACACAATGGGCGCGGGGGGCGGCCCGCCGCGCAGTTCCGGGTCCGCGGACGCTGGCGCGGAATGCAGCGCCCAAGCGCTGACGCACCTCAATGCTTCTAACCGTTCTCTTGACCTCGGACACCACGTCCGAACCGCCCCTCCTGTCCCTGGCACGCATCACGGCGCTCTTCTTCGAGTGCGACCTGTTCGGCGCCTTCGGCAACTTGCCCTCCCCCTCCTTCCCTCCCATTTACTTGAAAATGGGACGGTTCGTCCCCCTTGATTCCGCGGGGTCCGCCTGCCTCCGGCAACTGGCGCTGGCGCCCGGCTGCCGGCGCGGGGCTGCCCTGGCGCTGGCTGGCCCGCCTGGTCGGCCCTTCTCCTCCCTGTCCGCTTTCTCCCTCCCCGTTCGCTGCCCCCCCTCCCGCGTGGCGGCCGCGCCCAGCGCAGCGTGGCTTCGGCCCGGTGCCCGGCGCTCGCGCGCGCCTTGCCGCCTCGGCGGCCCCGCGGTCCTGGGCGCAGCGCGGCTCTGGCCCGGCCCTGGGCACCGCGGACAACAGCAGCGCAGAGCGTGGCTTCGGCCCGTTCCCACGCGCTCGCCACTGCAGGGCAGGCTTCCACCCTGCAGAAGACGGGCACCCTGTCGGTCATTGGCGGCATCTGCCTGGCATGGCCTGGCTGCCGCGTCTCAGACGATGGCTCCCGCACCGTGGGTCTGCGGCACCTTGGGCACCACGGCCCTGCTCCCGCATCCTGTTCGGTGGCACAACGTTGCACTTCGGCTCCATGATACTCCCTACCTTCCCTGGGCGTCGCCTCTTGCATATAAGGCGAGTCCTCGTGTGCTGCCACTTGAAGCTGGTGTACGACGCGCCGTTGACGGCACCGACACCGCAGCATTTCGCTTCTTCCGGTACTTCGCCGCCGGGTTTCTGTCCAAGGCGTTCTTTTGCAAACGCATCGTCCTCGGCACCGCCTGATTCCGGGGCTTTGCCCCCTCCTGGCCTTGATGTGAGGCCCCTCTTTCTGCCCCCCTCTCGTCAATTCAAGCTGTGCTCGGCCCGCTTAGCTTCGACCGGAAGAGGTGCGCTTTCGACCCGCGCATCAAAGAAACGTGTATCTGCATTCGCAGTGTGTTTTCCCAGCTCAACTCCAGGACATTTTGCGCCTGCGGTCACGATCGCGTCCAGCATGTTCTGGAGGTTGAGGCTGCGGTGCGAAAATATAAGCGTGTCGTCCGCGTACACTGTATCCCGCGTCGTAACGCATTCCAGGTCAGGGTCGTGCTGGATAGCGTTCGGCGTGTCGTGCAGCATATTTGATTGAATCGCGGTGAACAAATGAGGTGAAAAAAAGGGACAGGAGGCGAACAACAATTAAATCCTATCCTCCCCCTCGTTTTTCTCCTTCCTCCTTTCCTCCCCCTTGTATCCTCCTTCATCTTTCCTTTCTCCCCCATCCTCACTCCTCCCCACCCCCTCCTCCCTTCTCCCTCCTCACTCCTCCTTCTTCCCCTCCTCTGTACCTTCGTTCATTCTCCTCCCCCCTGTCTTACCCCTTGCCCGCAGTTTACCACCATGCAGTATACTGCAGGCGAATGCAACGCAGTGCAACGCGTCCAACGCAACAGGATCGTTGGTTGACCAGTTGGTTGGCTGGTGACTTGTCGGTCGGTATGTAGGTAGGTTGGTTAGCTGGTTAACTGGGCGGCTGCCGCGTGGCAGCGCCAATCTATTCGTTACGTGGCAGCGCCGCGGGGGCTAGAAACAAATCTGTTCCATTCTATTCGCCACGTGGCACGGGTTGCCAGGGGACCGACAAAATACTATTCCGCGATTCGTCCCGTGAGAACGCCGCGGGGGTCAATACATACTAAACCGTTCCACGCGCCACATGCCAACGCCTGGGGGCGCGAAGAAACAGTATTCCATCCACTCTACTCGTCACGTGGCAGCTCCACGGGGGCCGGGAAAACAACTATTCCACTCCATTCGTCACGTGGCAACGTTGTGGGGCCGGCGGCCAAAAATATTATGCCACTCGAATCGCCACGTGACAACGCCTGTAGGCGCGAAGAAACTATATTCAGTTACAGCCGTCACGTGCCAGCGCCGCGTGGACCGAACAAAAACATTGTGCCACGACGACGGCGAGGACGACGACGAAAACGACGATGACGACCATGACGACGACGATGACCAGGGCCAGGGAGGCGAACAACAACATTATCCTATTCTCCTCGTCCTTCTTCCTCCTCCCTCCTTTCTCCCTCCTCCATCCTCCCTCCTTCCTCCCCCTTCCTCCCTCCTCCCCCTCCCCTCCTCCCCCCTCCTGATCTCCTCACTCCTCTTTTCTCCCCTTCTCTAACGATTTCATGAATGCGCTCGGCGACGTCAGTGCCGATCGACTTCATGAAATGGATCGATAGGTGGACAGTGAGACCACTAGAGAAGTGATCGGTGTTTGCCTGGTGGTTGTCCCGATAGCCGTTCCGATGGTTGTCCCGCTGATGGTCCTAACGGCTTTCCCGATGGTTGTCCCGATGGTTGCTCCGTCGGTTTGAGGGGTAGGGGGGATTGGGTTTGACCCCCTCCCGTCCTGTCACCTTCCCGGGGAGGGAGGGCGGGGGTTCGAACCCCCCCCCTTCTACTTTCCGGAATCCCCATGGGGCGGGTGGGGATGGGTTCGAACCTCCCCCCCTCCACTTTCGGAGGGGTGGGTGGGTGGGTTTGAACACCCCCCCCACTTTCTCCCAGCTGCGTCAGAAGACGCTCTTTCCATCCTCTCCCCCCCTCCCTTTCCCTAATTACCTCTCCCTATCGAGGACGACGCCCCTGGATGCGCAGGGAGGGCGAGACACTTTGAACCGCGATTCTCGATTGGGAGGATGACGACGACGACGACGACCGACGAGGCGACCACGACGACGACGACCACAGACGACGACGACGACGACGACGACGACGACGACGACGACGACGACGACGACGACGACGACGACGACGACGACGACGACGACGACGACGACGACGACGACGACGACGACGACTACGACGACGACGACGACGACGACGACGACGACGACGACGACGACGACGACGACGACGACGACGACGACGACGACGACGACGACGACGACGACGACGACGACGACGACCGACGACGACCAAGGACGACGGACGACGACGATGATGACGACACGTTCGGCGACTAACGACGACGAGAGCGCCTGGCTCTGCCCGCCTGGGCGGCGGCCCGCGGCCACGCGTCGGCGGATGCTCGCCGAGCTGGCGAACACGCTCGCGCTGTCATGGGTCGGCACCGAGGTGGCGCTGCACGGCGCCAGGCGCTGACGAGCGCCGCCTGCTTGCGGATACTGTCCACAAACACCAATAAGGCAGGTTCGTGTCGTGTCGACGCGGCTGCGACCCCGCCGCGTGTGTTCAAGGTTGAGCGCGCCAGTTTCCCCTAATCGACAAAAGACAACCGATCGTTCAAGGGTTGAACGATCCACGCGGTGTCAGAAACTGAATCCGGGTCGTCACGACACGAAGCTGCCGTACCGATACCGTTGCCAGTTATTCGTCGCCACGGCTTGATTCGCCTCGACACCCTGGTCTGAAGACACCCCAGTAGAGGTCCGGGGACCAGCAGTATCATCATCGTTTTGGTCCCCCAGGCTGGGGGATCGATCTTTGGGGGCCCTGATCCCCTTGGCGGTGGGTATGGTTGACCGACGGCCGACGATCGACGACCGACCACGACCGACGAGGTCATGGGTCGGCACCGAGGTTCGGGGGTCGCCAAGAGTGTCCCTGGCCCAGGGTGCCCCCAGCTCTTCACATAACTTTCGAACCTCCCTGGGGCCCCCGCGGTCTCGAGAGGGGTGCTCTGGCGGCCGTGTGGCCTCCCTGGAACTCCTGGAGGGCACCTTGGGCCAGGGACACCTCTGGTAACGCCCGAGAGGAGGCGCTGCACGGCGCCAGGCGGGGCTGTCGTTGCCGCCCGCCTGGGATCCCGACGACGGCGACGACGACGTCGACGAGGACGACGACGATGACGACGGCCGACGGCCGACGACCGACGACCGACGTCGACGAGCGACGACAGACGTCGATGGACGACGACCGACGATGACCGAGGACCGACGACCGACGCCGACGACGACCCGCTTAGATCCCTCTCCTGCTGGATCCCGCCTCGCCAGTCCCCTGGGCGGAAGGATTCTGTTCAGTCCTGGCGTTTCTCCCTGGCTCCTGTGCCCCCAGTCGGCCGCACTCGGGCCCCTGGGCCATCAGTCGTGGATCTGGGACGCACGGCCTCTCTGGGGAAGGGGTCGGGACCTCATGGGACCCACGGGTTGGAGCACATTGATCCATAACATGCTTGGGTCCTTTCGCCGACACTTCTCCAGGGGGGCAGGTCGTCTTCGCTTGGGGTCGTTCTCGATGGCGGTCGTCCTCGCCCTGCCTTCTTCGCCCGGGGGCATTTGGGAGGGGAAGGATCTGGGAGGAGGGAGATCAAGAAGGATTCCACTCCTGGATCCCCTTCCCTCCTGGATCCCTCTCTGTAGCTTCTGAGCTGGGCCACCACCTCGGGGCCTGCCTTCTGCTGGTGGCATTGCGGTCTGCGCCCCATCCTCCGTCCTCCTTCCCCTCGGCTCTCCTCCCGCTCCTCCCTTCTCCCTCCCCTCATCCTTCTCCTCCCTCCTTCCCCCTCTTTCTCAGCCGCCATCCCAGCTCGAGGCTTTGGGTGCCGCTACCAGGTGGCGGCGAGCCTCCGTCGGGACGGCGGCCAGACGCGTCAGCCCGCCGCCATCGAGCAGCAGCGGGCGCAGCCGTGCGGTCAGAGGTTGCGATCCACCCCTGCAGCCTCGTCCTGAGGCGCACGCGCCCAGCAGGGCAACGACTCACGTCGCGTTCTCGAGGGTCCGAGCCCGCCTGGCATCGCCCGGCCAGGCCCCGTCGGGCCGCCGCCCGCGTTCTCCGCAGGCCTACATCGGCGTCGGACATCCTGCGCAACCATCACAGCGCAACGCCAGCACCGTCGTGGCACGTCGCGGCAGGTTCCGCAGCTTTGCCTACCACCTCGGCTACCGTGCGCCGCACGCAGTGCGGCACGGCCAAGGGGCCCTCCGCCCGCAGGTGCTCATTGTGCTTTCCGCCGCAGGGAGGTCGACGACCAAAACGGTACTCCTCGACCTGGAGACCGACGGCTTCCGCGCCGCCAGTCTCGCGTTCCCAAGACCCGGGGTGCAGCCATCCAAGGAGGAACACGCGCCATCGCAGCCAGCGCCATTCATTCAGGCACTAGCTGGTGCTCAGCTGGCCATCTTGCCCGTAGGCTGGGTGTCAGCGCGCGCGCACTTCAGCTGAGCGGAGCCTCCATCGGGACACGGAGTGGGCAATGCACAGGACCCAGAAACCGATGACCTTGACCGGGTTAGAGGTCCATATCATCAGCAGGAGGGCATCATTTGCATCCGCCGAACAATTGCGGCTATTGGAAGCAGAATGCAGTACTCCCTTTCATGAGTATTCACGCTTACGCGGCACGGGACAGAGTGGGACATCAGGAACTCTTCGTCGACCGTGCCAAGACGAGAGAAAAGGCAATCAAATTGACGTTGGCAAATGCGTTAGCTACGCCTGCGGCGATACATTGCCGTTAGATGCAAGGCCTCTGTCGCTTATAAATCGCCGACTCAAGCTCGATGTTTCCCCTCCCCCCCCTGAGCCAGTCCCCCCATCGTGCCCCATCAAATCCGTTACCCCTCCCCATCCCACCCGCTCCTCTCTCCATCATCGCCCTCCGAACCTCCTCTAGAGCAGAACCTCTACCCCCAATGCAACGTTTTTTTTTGTCGCAGCGTGGGCCTCCGGAGGTCTCGACCCCTTCTCGGGAACTGGCTTTTCATATCGAGCCGTTTTCTATTGTCACGGTCCTGGGGCCCTGCAAGGGCCCACAGGGGCCGAAACTTGTCCATCCGCGGCGACAAGGAAGTCCTGGAGGCCCACAAGCGCCCCTCGAGCCGTTCAACCTCGATCCTCGCGTCGTGCTTTCTTCACGACGCGAGGGGCTTTGGGTCCAGAGGCCGAACGTCTACCCCCGGGCAGGTCCAGGATGCGTTCTGGAGAACTTCGAGGCGGATCTAGCCAGGGCGACGAGAGGCCTCAACAAGGCCCGCAGTGAGGCAACCCTCGATCCTAGGACCTCGAACCTGCTCCGACCTCCCTGTGCTCCTTGACTCCGCACTGCAGGTCGTACGTATCATATGTGTTCAATGTGTGTAGGCGTCGAGCGTTGCTTTGACCCGTGGCCCGACGTAGTCCTGTCTTGTCCTGTCCTGTCCTGGTTCCTCCTCCCTTATCCTCCTGCTCCTCCTGCTCCTCCCTCCTCCCTCCTCCCTCATCCTCCTCTTCCCCCCGCCTCCTGTCTCCTCCCTCCTCCCTCTTCCCTCCTCCTCTTCCATCCTCCCTCCTCCCGTCCTCCCTCCTCCCTCCTCCCCCGGGGCCTTCCGCCCCTGGCGCCCCGTGCCAGGGCGCTGCCCAGGACGCCGCTGCTCGCCGTCCTCTCCGCGGCCGTGGCGTCCAATGCCGCCGCGCTGGCCTGCCCCCTCCCTCCCTGTTCATCCACTGCCTCCTCGTCATCGTCCATCCCTCCCTCCTCCGTCCTCCCTCCTCCTTCCTCCCTCCTCCCTCCTCCCTCCTCCTCCTCCTACCGCCTCCTCCTCTCCCCCCTGGCTCCCTGATTATGCCTCCCTTCTTCTCCTGCCTCCTTCCCTCCCTCCATCCTCTTTCTTCATAGATCACTCCTCTCTGCCACATCCCCGGATGCTTCAGTAAGGCGGTCCAGGCATCCCTGGACGCGTCGGTATGGCGGTCCAGGCGTTTCGTCTGAGACTTCTTTGCCATTTCTAATATTGGAGGTCTCAGCTGTGCAACAGTTGAACGGACGGAGGTGGTCCTTTTCAAAAGGGGGACTCTCTCCTTGACGCCATTCCCATGCGTTCCAAGAGCTCACAGGAGCTACATGGTGGAGGGTGCTTCGTTTTCAAAAGGGGGCAATCGCCTTAGCGCCGCCGCGTCTCATCAAACTGGGGCTCTCACCGCTGCGCGCACGCATCAGTTTTTCAAGCTAACACAAGCTTACCGCAGCTACCAGGATGGAGGCGGTTTTCTTAAAGATGTGGCTATCGCTGCAGGATGAGGATGCTCGCTATGGCCGTTTCTCATTTTCCCCATCCATCCTCCGTCGAGCCATGCTATGCCACGCTTACCCTGGAATCGAAACCCTCCCTCCGACCGCTTCCCTTCTCCCTCCTCCTTCCTCTATTTTCTATCCTCCATTGGGAGACGCCGAACGATCCGCTTGATTCCGTGCTCCGATCATGGCAAAGCCTATCTCGAGCTCGGCCCAGAATCGGTGCATGTTCTACGATTTCTGGCCATGGTCGATGTATTCTAGGTGGGCAGTTGGCGTCCTCCAATCCTTTCCACCTCCACGCCACCCTCCCGCCACCTCCCGCCTTTTTTCCTCTTCCAGCATCCCTCTTCCTTTCTCCTCCCTTCCCTGTATCTCCCCTTTGGAATTCGCCCGAATTTGGCTTCCAAAACCCTCCAGGGCGCAATCTGGATTCATTAGCAGATCCCCGTCCAGCCTTGGCGAAAGCCCGACAGGAGGAGGAGGAGGAAGAGGGGGGGGAAGAGGAGGACTGAGACTGGGAGGAGGAGAAGGAGGAGGACAAAACATGTCATGGCAGAGAAAACCCGCACAGATTGTGCAAACGGAGATTGTGCAAGCTGCTGAGCGAGTTTGGGGAAGGGGTTGTGAAGGGCTGGTCCAAGCTTCTCATGGTTGTGTTTTCCACCATATGTACGTAGGCACTAGTGGTGCTTACTGCGAGGTCGGTGCGGAAGAATGTCGAGACCTTCCCTCCTTCTTTCCTCCTCGAAGCAATGTGCTTGGTCTTTCTGTCGTCGAGCAAGTGTGTTTCTGTTGTTCCATACGTTGATTTAGTCACACCCCTGCCATGCCTCAACGACATTAGCATCACTTTGTCGCAGCTGTTCTGGCTGTGGTCATCGGAAAAGGGAGAGCCCGCCCGCTCCGCGCCGGCTGGCCGGCCGGCCCTCTCCCCTGGTACCTTGATTACAGCCATCGCTTAACGGCGCAACGTCACATCTCGCCATGATTACAATCAAAACGTCACCGATACACCGCGCAGACCCGAACATGCAACTACTACAAGCGGGATATCACCGTGAAGAACAAACACACCCTTTGCCGTTCAATCGGGCTGCGAAGGCCCACATTCTGACGGATAACTGGCAAAGCACTGGTTAGCAGCCGAGAGTTCTATCATCGATGAAAGTGGTGCCATTAGAGAAGGAAGCTATGTTTCTAGATTCAGTGAAGGAAGGAAGTCCAACGCCACGGATTACGTGTGAGTGTTCTTGTAGCGTATTCAACCGACGATGTCGAATAACTAAGCCAACGTCCTCATTTTAATATTTGGTGGGACATCTCCTACGACGGCGAGCGTCGCCCGGACATTCCGAAGGCCAAGGGCGACGAGGCGTTCGATTGGTATGAGGGCGGCGAGCAGACGCCGTTACCAATCGCAGGTCAACCTGGAGTTCCAATGGACCTTTAGGAAGAGAACTTCTCCCGCATATCAACGCCGAGAAACGCCGAGCCCGATTGCATACAGTGACGCTCGCCTGTCGCAGGAAGGAGGTGACGAGGCCTATGGCAGCAGATCCCCTGTTCCGTTGGACGACGATCGGCCTCCCGCACAGGTGCCCTCGCCTATGGCCATGAGGTTGCGCTTCCGTCTGATGATTCGTTGGAACGGGGCCTGGGGGAAATCGTGGAGGATCAGCCCGCGGGCAGTCCGGTCAAGGCAACCAGCAAGCGAAGGCGCGAGACGGTTCGCCTTTCTGTTGTATCACCGCTCGAGAAGCGGATGAGATCCGACGGCATTCCCGAGGGCGGCCCCGTGTCCGCTCCACGGGTGGGGTGGGTGGGCCCAGTGGCTCTCTGCGCCTGGGTCTCTTCCGCATCCTGCCCAGACTGGCCGTCGACCATCGATCATGATGTCCGAGGCGCCAGGCCCGCGGACCCGCGCTCCCCGCGAGAAGAGCGCCGAGAGGGGCGGGCCCAGGGCCCCGAGGCCGCGTTCGGAAGCGTCCGACTTATCCAACCTATTGGGTCGGTCGAGTGCATTCAGCGTGCGCATCAATGCAAACGGTGCTCCCTTCGGGCCGCGATGCACCGCGAATCCTGAGTCCTGGTTCGGTGCCCTGGTTCGTCGGGGCAGTGCAAGAGGCCTGTCTGTCATGAATGCTCGGATATTTGTAGTCTCTGCAACCCGATTTTCTCACGTCCGACTTGCGGCGCCCCTGCGTCGCATGACTGTGCAGGTTAGCGTGTGAACGAGTTGCGAGAAATTGAGGGGCAGAAAAGGTTTGGGATCATGTGGGCCAGGGGGCGATGCGTTGCTCAGATGCGCGAGCAGCTGCGACAGTCGGAGTTGCAGCAGAAAGCTGCCGCTGCTCTTCAGCTGGAGCGAGACCCTGAACCTATGGCGAGTGCCGAGCGATTTCTTGAGGAACGCCATCAGGCGGTGGCTGCCGAGCAGGCCTTGTCGACGACGGCGGAGATGAGGGGGCTCGCCGACGGGGTGGAGGCAAAAGTTGCATCTGAACGCCATGCGCATTTTCAGGAGAAGCGCCTTGCCGAGGAAGCCAGGCGCGTTGTCTGGGGGGCCGGCGAAGCTCCGCGCGCGACTAGGTCGCATTTGGCCTTGGAGGTGCGAGCAGCAGAGGATCGGAACGCGCGTTTAGCCGCTGAGGCGGCCGCTGTTGTCAAGCAGTCCGAGGCGGATCGCCTTGTGCCAGTGAGGGCCATGCTCCTTCTGCGGCCGAAGTATAACGCGCTCGGGAAGAGATGCAACTTGTCGAGGCGCACGCTAAAGAGAAGGTCATTGCAAGCGTTTGCGAGGCAGAGCGGAGGGCTGCCTGGGCGACGAGGGGCTGGGAAGCCGAACGGGACAAGCTGTGTGATGCAATTTGAACGATCATCGAATGCAGTGGAACCCGGTTGGAGTGCCCTCAGCAGCGTCATCGGGGGCTGGGTCAACAGTGGATCCACATGCAATTGCCGCGCAGGCCCCCCCGCCGCCGGCTCCGCCCGCGGTCGGAAGACCCGCGTCGCAGAGCAGCGCAGCGCGTAGCCCTTAAGCGGGCGCGCTGCGGTGCTTCTTATGCCCTGCGGCTGCTTCTCGCGACTGCGCCGCGTGCAACCGTGGCGTGTGGGGTGATCGCTCTATCCCAGATGGCGAGATGCGCGTTCGCTGCCGCGGCAAAGCGGCGACGCCCAGAGACGGTGCAGCGGAGAAAGTACTCCGAGGATAAGAAAGTGGGGAACGTGGGGCGAGAAAGAAGCTCGAGGAACATAATGCTGCTGCCTCTGTGCCAGGGGCTGGCCCTCTCGACTGATTGCTACGGCCGGTGTCCGCCCGCGGGTGTGCTTCGGGATTGGATGGGCGGGCGGAGAGCGCTGAGTCAAAGAGTCTGCTTGAGTTTGAAGGGGCCGCGAGGGCCGAGAAGAAGAGGCCCAGGGATATGCTCGAAGGGGCAATGCAGCGGGAAGAGGGCCGTGCCGGGGTGCGCGCCGAGCGCAGGGGAAACGAGAAACAAGAAATGCGCGCGGGAGAAACCGAGGCGGCTGTTGCGTTGGCGCGACAGACCCAGGGAAAAGTGACTAAGGCTGAACATGGCGTTCGAGGGCAAAAGGGCACGAGGCCCAGCCCGGGGCCAGTCCGAGCTCGCATCGGGAACTCTTCCCCGGGATGCGCGCCACTGGGGCGGGGGAGTTTGCCGAGCATCTTCGAGCGTGCAGACGAGAAGGATGAATGCATTCACCCGAAGAAGGCACCGACGCCAAAGCATCAAGGCTAAGGTCCTCCAGATGATGGTGGTGGAGATGGTGGCGACGGTGATGAGGGCGATGGGGACTGCTATCTTGAAGACGAAGAGCGCCTGGCGCCCCGAGGGGGGGGGCGGCGATTCCGACCGCCGGCGCTGGCGTGGCGGAGGGCCGTCTGGCGGCGACCCGCCCGGAGGCGGCGGCGACGGTGGCGTCCCCATTCCATTGGTGGCTGTGGTTCATGCCGCTGCGCTGTGTTGGAATGGCGCCGGCAAAACTGAAAAATAATATTGGAAGCGACCCCCGGCGCTGCCGGCTACAGGCGATGGCAGCGCAACGCGGTCAGGACTGTAGCATCGGCGTCACCGCGCAGCGAGGGGGCCGTCAGTTGGGTAGCAGGCGCGTTCGATCTCAGCAACGTTGAGGTAAACGATCCGGGAAAGACTCTGGTCACTCTGTCTTGCTCGACCGAATGATTGATGCGGACTTCCTGGCAAAGATTAACAAGATAGTTAGAGACAGACAATCCTCATCTCAGCTCCGTCACCTTGCGAGTGAAATAGAAAGGTTAGACATCTCCTCGCGAGCCGCCAGGAATGTGATGACATGTCGTGGGATTCTGCGTATCATTGCCGTCCGCGTGATCATCCGTCAGGGCCGTGGTCAGGCGTGCGC